AGGCCTACTCACCCCCAACTGCCCTCCTCTCCTGGCCCCTGATCACCCCTAACCACCTCTGCCTCGGCCCCGGCACCATGGCTTTGTCTGGAAGGACGTCCGGAAGGTCTCCTGGTCTAATTAGCATATTACCCTTTTATTAGTGTGTGTATATATATGAAAGAGACATCGTCCGGGTATGTGCACAGAGCAGACCCACCTCCTCCCCAGGCTGGGGCCATTGCTGGCACCCTGACCTGCACACCGCGCCCCACGCTCTGCATGCTGCTGGTCTTAGCCCTGCACATCTCCCTGTGGCTCCTCCACGGTCCCCTCCACGCCCCTGCCCTCACCCTCTGCTCCAGGAGCCCAGAACTGACCTGGTGGACAGATAGTGTCCCAGGCTCTGGGTCATGAGGGGTCCCTCAGAGGCACAGGCAGGATTGAGGGGACCAGCGGAGCCTGTGTCCACCCTTTGCTGTCCTCCTCTGTGGAGAGTGGCCAGACTAGGGGCTCCGAAATCCGAGCCCGGCAGCTGTGCCATGGCAGGGACGTCCCCCCAAGACCAGGGCTGACCCCTGGGCCCATGAGCCAGGAAGAGGGGAGCCCTGGGCCATCTTGTCAAGCCCTGGCCGCCGTGGGCCTGAGGAGTCCCCTGGAAGGGACGTGGAGGAGCCCCGAGGCCAAAGGGGCAGGACCGAGGCCCAGGGTGGGGAAGGCAGTGGCCCCGGGGGTTCACCCACTATTAGCAACGTCAGCCTGGCCACGTGGGGCGTCATCCTGCACCCAAACGCTGAGGCTTGATCCCCAGGCAGGACACCCACAGGAGGCAGCCCATTGATGTTTCCCTCTCAGCTCTCTCTCTCTCTGTCCTGGGGTGAGGATTTACAAAAATAAATTTTAAAAAATGTTCAAGCCGGACACAGGGGAGTGAGACCAAGCCCAGTCCCCAGGCCCAGGGAGCGGCTCTGGCCAGGCCAGGCCGGAGCGCACCCTGTGGGCAGGCAGCCCCCGGGAGGCAGCAGGACCTGTGGTGCTTTTGGATGGGGACTCGGGACCCTGGTACGGGGTCGTGTCAGCCAGGGAAGGCGGACCAGCTGCTGTGACAAACCCTCTGCCTGCAGCTCGGGTCTCCCTCCAGCAGCCAGCAGGCCCGTGCAGTGGGGAGGGGGCTCGGCGGCCTTTCTGGGACCCCCGGGTCCTCCTCCCTGAGGAGCCAGAGTCCCGGCTGGTCCTCTGCCCAGCGGGCAGGGCAGAGGGCTGAGACCTGAGGACGGCAGAGGCCCCGGGGCCAGGCCTAGACACGGTGCCATTGGACTCAGCCTCATGGCCTCACCTCGGGCAAACATCCACCCCTGCTTCCTGCCTCCTCGGCGGCGTCTGGGCCTGGGCAGTGTCCAGGGCGACAGCAGGAGGAAGGACCTTGGTGGTTAGGAGATGGGGGCAGAGACAGGGAGGGGAGAGGCAGGGGCTGGGGTGTGGTTGCCAAGGGGCCGGGTCTCCTAGGGGCAGCAGGCAGCCCAGCGAGAGGGAAGGCTCATCTGGGGGGCCCGGTGTGTGCGGCGCCTGGGGCACCGTCCGCTCCATAGATGGTGATGGAGGCCCAGATGCTCCAAGCCCTCGGGGCTAGTGGACATCATGGGAGGCTTCCTGGAGGAGGTGACTGTGGTGGGACCTGAAGTGGGGCGGACGGGCTGCAGGAGAGCCCAGGCGACACTCCAGGCCTCGGCTACGGCGTGCCCATGAGGGCAGGGACGAGCGCGCTCACTCCCAGGAGCTGCCAGCGGTCCCTCCTCACCGGTCTGAGCCCTGGGGCAGGTGAGCCCATCTCCACACCCATTTCATCGTTGGGGAAAGTGAGGCCCAGCAGCCCATCGGGACGCCACGAGGAGCAGCGAGTGGGGGTCAGGGAGGAGAGATCGGGACCGCAGGGTGGCAGAGAGGCCGTGGGGTGTCGGTCACGGGGCCCCCACGGAGCTGGTGCTGGGTCCAGAGGAAGGGTCTGTCCCCTGGGGCAGGTGAGCCCATCTCCACACCCATTTCATCGTTGGGGAAAGTGAGGCCCAGCAGCCCATCGGGACGCCACGAGGAGCAGCGAGTGGGGGTCAGGGAGGAGAGATCGGGACCGCAGGGTGGCAGAGAGGCCGTGGGGTGTCGGTCACGGGGCCCCCACGGAGCTGGTGCTGGGTCCAGAGGAAGCAGAGCGGGGCAGGTTGCTGTTCTGTTTGCTAAATCGAGAGTCTCCCGCCACCTGAGCCCACAGGTGTGCCCGTCGGCCCCTTTCGCACGGAGCAGCTCTTTATCTCCTCCCCCGTGTCCTTGTCACCCGCTCGCACCGGGTTGGTTTTCTTTCTTTATTTTAATGTTGGTATTGATTTCAGAGAGGAAGGGCGAGGGGGAGAGATAGAAACATCAGTGATGACTGAGAGGCTTTGATCGGCTGCCTCCTGCACGCCCCCCACTGGGGATGGAGCCCACAACCCGGGCCTGGGCCCTGACGGGAATCGAACCGGGACCTCCTGGTTCCTAGGTCGACGCTCAGCCCCTGAGCCACGCCGGCCGGGCTCCCAGGCTTGTTTTTCTTACTTTCGTTGTTTTGCCCACTTGTTTGCTTCCAGGCACCCAGGACTCTCGGGTCCCAGTCTCCCGCCCAGACTCCTGCACCCGCTTCCCTCGCTGGGCCCTGCGGCCACCAAAACCCGCTCCTTGAATTCAGAGTCTGCCCTGCCCGCCCTGGCCTCCTCGCAGGATGGGCCCCAAGTGCCCCTCAGCCCTGACCTGTGCCCTGCGCCCTGGAGGGCGAGGCCTGGCTGCACCCACTGTGCAGGGACATGGCCGTCATCTGTGCCTCCCGGCCCCAGGGGAGGGCAAGGGCTGTCC